TCTTGCTTTTGTTACATTATTAACAGCAAGTGAGTCGGGTGTGTTCGACATGACGTGCATGCACAGCTGGAGATGTTTATCATGTTGATATACACGATCTTACAGTTATAGGTTCATGCATTACCAGCATATTAACGTCTCAAATTTTTAATATGTTAGTGTTATTTTATAAATGGAGAAAGTGTGCAAGATTGGTTTTATGAAGCCAAAAGAATTACTAATACTTTGTTTCAGAAACAACACTGATTTGAACAAAATGTGGTAAAAAGAAAATAGTATTAGAAAACAGGGGGTTTTAATTAATAAAAGACATGCAGAAAATATCAAAGAGATATTCAATAGAGGCGAAATATACCAAAGGTATATATATATTCAAACTAATTAGTCGAAAGTAAACTGACAAGGCCATGGCAAAAAAAAAGGAAAACGACGAAAGGACAAACAACAGTCCACTAAAGTACAAGAGAGGAGAAAGTTACCAGAGGGACATTCAAACTCATTAGTCGAAAATAAACTGACAACGCCATGGCTAAATAAGAAAAAGATCAACAGACAAACAATAATACACAAAGTACAAGAGAGGCGAAAGATACCAAAGGGACATTCAAACTCATTAGTCGAAAATAAATTGACAACACCATGGCTAAATAAGAAAAAAAAGACCAACTGACAAACAATAGTACACAAAACACAACATAGAAAACTAAAGACTGAGCAACACGAACACCACCAAAAACTGTGGGAGATTTCAGGTGATCCAGAAGGTTTGCTCATGCAAAATTGTCCTTAGCAGAGCTCCTCACGATTACTATTTGCATCGAAAACGCATTATTTCTTGTAATCATAGGCGAATCCATGTAAACGATCAAACGCAAACACAGAACACAGAACACAGAAGCAAATTCATTCCATATCGTAAATAGATAAAACATGTGGTTACTATATGTGGAATGATGCTTACTTTTTATTAATACAGCAACCCAACAACATAATAAACTAAAAGATATCTAGAGGTCAGCATACGACATTCAACAATAGACATGTGTCTGTGCAATGTCAAGCTCGAAATTTCTTCGATTTTAAAAGAGTAGTAAAACTTTTTTACTCCTTATTTGAATGGCTTAGAAGTACCAATTATATGTCGTATACTTATATAATATATATATAAAAGAAAACAGCTTTAAAAAATTTTAATTTTCAATAACATCCGACGTCTGTATAGAAAATAATTCTACTGGAATACGTTGCCACAACTTGCTGGAAACCTATACTAAATTCTTTCATAGGTAAATTGTACTAAAAATGGTTTTAAAATTTGGCGGTAATTGTAGAAATCTTATTACACTCTACTGTTGAATGTGATGTTTTTCATAGAGCTTGTAAATACATATTTGTTTTATTTGTTTTATTATTATTTTTGTTTGTAGTGTAAATCAGGCTGTTGGTTTTCTTTTTTGGATAGTTTCACATTTTGTCATACCAAGGCCTTGACTTTTATTTGAAAGAACATCAATAAAAGCGCTGTGCCTTTGCTTTGTGTGTTTTTTTTTTTGCTGTGCATGTACTGATTTTGTGTCATGGAAGGATACCCATAGCCTTTGTTTTTTCCTACTTTATAGCTTACTGTATGGTATAGATTTTTCTCATTGTTGAGGCCAGGTATACCCATTACATCTATCAACTCGCAACTCAAAATTATAATCCTAAAAGCCAAATTCAAATTAGTGTATTACACAGTTGCTGAGAAACCAACCGCCAAAGTGTGACATGTAGTTCAAATACAGAAACGGCTATTGTCTGTAATGAAACATATTAGTAAAAAAAAGCACTGCATGCCAATGTAAAGATAAGTTGCCAAAAATCCAATACAGGGATTTTTACGTTGAAGGTGCGATCTTAAGTTAGAAAAATGTAATGCATCTCGCACATTTTGATATTATACTAGACGCCTAACTTCAAATATATGCAATGTGCTGTTTCTGAGAAATATATAATTTCGATTTTGAGATTTATTGGACAAAATCAGAGCTGATATTGTTATACACGAGCTGGTAAGGGAAAATATTATAATGAAATGCACCTGGCAACTAAGATGTATTATGCAGAATTTCAGCTACGAATAAGAGATGCATAATGACTTCGAAAAATGTCACACGAACAAATGGTGGAAATGTTGAAAGCAGGTGTAGATAAATTTATCTAAGAACCAATGAATAGACGTTGTAAAATAAATACATTTCATCTTACTACTCAAAATGTAAACTGTTGTATAGCTGTTGTGTAAATTAGCTATTAACGATCAAATACACTTTCAATACCTAATATATTGCTAAATGTTAAGTTTGGACGGATTGGTATAATCAACCATGTCCTCTCCAACGTATCTGGAAATGAATAAGCGGCCAGTCTTTATCATACATGTAACCACAATTGTGTTTAAAGGTCAGGGTCAGGATTTTAGCATATTATGAAAACAGCTGTTCGATTTATACAGGGTTACGAGATGTTATTCGATCTTGTGTTGCTTTTGATTTTTTTTTATTTAATAATATGTTTAAATTCGCTATATTAATTGAACTCTGGATTTTTACCTCCATTTTACGTTTGTCTTGTCACCTGATTTTTACTAGACATGAGCAACACGGTGGTGCCACTATGGAGAAGGAACTGATTACCATCCCGGAGCATGCACCTACTGGGTAGGAATCAAAAGTAAGAATATGATATTGGGCAATTAAAACCTGTAAGTATAAAAAAGACCGACAAAACACAATGGTAAAAAGAAGAAATAACAGTCTACAAAACACAACATAGAATACTATACACTAAGAAAATCTACCCAGTACAATATCATATTCTTACTTTTGATTCTTACAACAACCATCTCATAACCCATGCGAGCAAATATCAATCGATTTTAATATATATTTCGGGAAGCGTTGACAAGAATTGGAAGCAGAGCAGAAGACTCTTACCCTGCTCCATTTGGAGTTAATGCGATTCCCTCAGCTTTTAATTATTGCCTTGATTTGTCTCTTCTGAATCGACTTACGAGATTTTAACATCGGCAAACTAATGTTGCCTTAATTTAACCCTGAAATACATGTGTGTGCTTGTCTGAAGTTGGGCCTTAAAATGCTATATTACAGGAAGATTTATAAAATATTGTTCTTTTCCCCTTTCAAAACCTAAAAACAAAAAAATAACCAGAGAAGATAATGTTATTTCATCAAAAGGACATGACCACAAGGAATATGCTTATTATTGACGTCACGCTCTCTTTTTTTTTTGTTGATATGTGCAGAGATAGAACGGCTTATTAACTTCACTTTTTCTCTTATTCTTTCTTTTCATTTAATAAGGAGGTTGTCAAATTACGGAAGGTGTATTTTTCAGATCTTACGGTCTCTATTGAATAATTGTATTAAACAATGTCAATTATGACAGTTTTGCATGCCATACTATTTAGAACAATCCACACTGTAAGGAATCTGCTAGTTGTAGAAATATACGAGGTCCTATGATGGTATTTATATGTTCATTTTAGTAAGCCTAGGTTGACAGGTTGCTGTCTTGTTGACTTTCATACCTCATCTTCATTATATCATGAATATGAATACATCAAGTGTAAATGTATACAACAAATACTTATGTTTCTTTTAGGACAATCTAGATAACTCGGTTGTCGTTTGTTGCTGTATATCTTTTTTTTTCGTTTACTGTTTTGTACATAAATCAGGCCGTTAGTTTTCTCGTTTGAATTGTTTTACATTTGTCATTTCGGTGCATTTTGTGACTTACTATGTGATATGGGTTTTGCTCATTGTTGAAGGCCGTACGGTGACCTATAGTTGTTAACTTCTGCGTTATAAACTGGTTAAAGCAACTTCAGTTCGGTTGTAATACAGCTTGCTTTCTAAAAGCAATTGCTATGTGATTTAAGTTTACATTGAAGTTTTTCTTGTATAAAATTAAATGTAAATATCAAAACAAAATCCTTGCTGAACAGATGAAATACATTATTATCATCCCAAATTGTTGTTACCTAATTATTAATAATGCATATTAAATTGGTAAAATATTTTGTAAGTATTTCTACTGGAACAAGTTTGTTTTATGTAACAAATACAGATTTCACGTAGTCTTAATAGCAATATGTATTTAAACATTATGTGCATTCAATTGGAACCAGAAAAAATTCGTACTTACAAACTTTTATCAATTTGCATAATATTTTGTGTTGTCGGTTTCTAACATGAATTTGAGCTTCGCAGGTCTTGTTCAAAATACGACTATTGGTTAATGCAAAAGATTTACGTAAATTATGAATAGAAACAATATTATAAAATAACTTATAATGTAGTATAGGTATAAGTGTACAAATGTATTTCTATATTTGGATTTAGTAACTTGAATAATCAAGAGTCAAATACTTGGCATGCTCTGGTGACTTGAGTAATAAGAGGCGTGCACCAGTGTACTAATACTACATGGTCAGGACAAAAAGAGTGCTTATTCGATGACTCATTTTGAACTAATTTGTCTAATTTCGTATAAAGCCTACGTTTTTAATTCCTGATTCAATGCACAGTTGTCATTTGTAAAATATGTATTGTAAAGTATAATTTTCGCAAATCAATATATATTTTCTAACAATCAACACTTATCAAAATGATATTATTAATTCTGTATAACAATTTTACATGACACACTAATATCGAAAACATCTTATTTTTGTATTATAAATTTTACTATTGAACCTATAATTAAATTCTTTAAAGGTAATTAGTGCCAAATATTTTCACCTATTTTTAATAATTGTACTTCTGGAGCAAGCCACCTTTTATAAATACCAAGTTATCTTTGGAGTGAAAACTATTTCACTACGACTTAATTAAGGCATTGGACCAAGGTTTATCAGATTAAAACATCACTTATTCAGGCACCAAGATACAATACCGGGTGTTTATCAACTGTTTAAACAAAATAGAACCATCAAATTAAGTATATTTGTTGACATTTATTGAGACAAACAAAATAGAAACATTAACATAAATAATTTGAACTGCAGCAGGTCTTTGTAACAGTATCTGCGTCGGGTCTTTAAGCCCTCTGTGCAGTCGTTCAATCGAGAAGAGTCAAGTGGTACGAATAACACATTTAACGAACTATTTGTTCTGCCCATTGCACATAGCCCTTTCTCAGCTTACACCTCTGCTTATACAGTGTAATTCTGAGTGTCCTATGAATATTATATTACATGCTTTAAATAGTCCAAGTTAAACGGAATAACTATTATTATATAGCACGATACAAGTATTTGTATCATATATTTTATTGTTGTATAATGTTTCGTTGTGGTATCAGTGACTTTTACTGTTTTGAGATCTAAATTGTTCAGCACTTGATTCTGATCTTTTACCCTCAGTGTCACTTAGATGTTCTACGTTAACAATATTATTGTCAATATCGCCTGTAGCACTTTCTAAGCTGTCGTTACTGTTTTCATTATGACAGCGTGACGCAGCACGCATTTTTTGTTCTACGAGAAACCCTATAGGTTGTGTTATTGGATATAAAGGCATCATGCCTAGTCCTAAAGCGTTCACTGATTTGCTAGCTTGAACACGTGGATATTTTGAATTCGGTCGTCTGCCCCGGGGAACTTTTGGCGCTTCCAACAAACTGTCAATACTAAATGAGAATTTTCTATCTGCATCGTGGTCACTTGCAGACGATTCATTGCCACTATTGTCTTCAGAACCAGAAATGTCTATGCTTTGAGAACAATCGGAACTATTGTCTTGTGTATGATCGTCATTTGAAATGTTTTCAAGTCTGGAATCCGACTCATTCAATGGTTTATCTTGCAAAGATTTTCTTTTTTCTTCCAACTTTTTCAATCTTTCTTCTTGTTTCCTTCTTTTCTTTTCTTGTCGTTCTAACTCTTTTCTTTTAATTTCGTCTGCGTCCATAGGAGCACCACTGCATGTTTGTGGATGAGCGTTATGAGCTGGTCTTCCAGGACCTTTTTTCGTGTGTTCCTTCTTTCGCCACTTTGCTCTTCTGTTTTGAAACCAGACCTGAAATTTTAACAGAATTATAGAGAATCACTCATGATTATGAATAATTAGTGAATATGAAACATTTATGACAGACATGAAAATGCATTCTGTTCAAATGATATTCTGTTTTATTCTATATAAGTTTTAAAATTATTCACTACATTTTTAACCGTTATTTCAAAATTCTAATTTCTTTTCTAAGTAATTCGTCTGTGTATTTTTTTTTTAAAGCAACGTGTAGAAATTGTCTCCTGATTATATCTTTTAAACAACTTTAGCATACTGTGGTGTAGGTTGTTTGGTAATAAACCACAAAAGTTATAAATATTCATTTAAAATAAAATTGTATTATCATGATAATAAATTAAAAACAAACTTTGCACTTGTAAAAGAAATTGTATATATTTGTTTTTTTCTGGTTAAAATATGAAATTTAATAAGCACATCACCTATCAATTTTATGGGAATTCGATTTAAAGTTTTTGATATATTTATTTACATACTGAAATGTAAATATTTTCAAGTTTAATATTCTATATTTTGTAATATTTTTTTTCTCTCATTACAACAGAAATTAATCTATGGTTTATCTTGCAAAGATTTTCTTAATTTTTTAAAATGTAAAAGCTTTAAAATATTCATGTGTATTATTATTATTATTATTATTATTATTATTATAGTATTCGTCTGTGTTTGAAAATAATTTTAAAAGTTATAAGTTAAATATATTTATAAAGATATGTTGGTTCTAAAGTATACTATTTTAAAAGAATTTGTTTTTTAAAATTTAAATTTAACCTAAAGAGTTAAATTGTATTCGTAAGGGTATCAAATAAACAATGCACTTAAAAATTCTTCACATATATATAAAGGTTTTATATATAATTAATGATCTTAGGGTAATTAACTTAACTTTAATAGATTTAAAACAAATAGAGATATTTGATCTTTTAACTGCAAAATTAATTTATAATTATCATCATTACGTATCAAATACAAAGAGTTCAACGATAAAATTATTTTATTCCATGTAAAAGCTTTACACCCGATACAGCAGATAAAAAGGGTTAAGTTGGAAAATGCACGGAGCCATATCCCCGGTCAGATCGAGTCGTAAAATTAATGGAAAAAAGACAACATTGATCTTAGGGATTTTATTCCTTGTAAACAAAGGCCAAGAAGTGTCACTACCAGTGCTATAGTAGAGTATTTCGTATGATCTTTTGGAACAAAGACGGCTATGGCTTGAACAAAGTTACTTCGGAACATTGATTATACGGTTTAACCACCTATTCGTAATTTTGTCAAGGTATAAAGGTCTACGGTTTAAGATCAGACTTTCAATACTTTTTAAGGTATATCATTTTCAGTTAAATTAGGGGGTATAGATTATTTTAATTGAATTAAGGTCTAATTCCTCCAGATGATGCAGGAGAAAATTACAGGGTAGTGTGGTAAATTGACACAAGTCAAAGCAATGGATTGTTTATTGTTTACAGCTAAATTTATACTTTGTGGAAGATTTTTACACCGCATATGTTTCCCGCTTGTTGATACGTCCAATTTAGAAATAATTTACGAGACACTTCGGGTATAGATTTTTTAAAATGATGTAAATTAGTAGTGTGTGATATGGATTAATTTCTCATTTATCATGTAAAATATAGTATCAAAACTACTGTAATAAAATTAGAATTAAAATCAGATGTGTTTTTTACTTTGACGATTGCTTTGTAATTAGTTTTAAATTTGTTGCCTTTGTAAGGGTGTAAAGAATTTGCCTTAAAAGAAATATTTGTTTAAATTTAACAACTTTTTTAAGGTATATTGTTTCAAAATCTAAAGAAAAAACAAGACATACGAATTCAATATTTAAGCAACACTGGTATAAATATCACTACCATTTTCTCCGAAACATTTAACATTTTAACAAGTTGTCGTTTCATGTTTTAATCAAATTGTATTAAAGTCAGTCAAAGTAAAGTGATGAAAATATTTTTTTTAAACATTGTCTCTATTCAATACAAATTTAAACTTTGGTACTACTTCTTACATTTTAGTTTTATATACATATTTACTTTTTATATATAATTATAAATTCAAAAGTGTGATTATAAGTTAACACTAATTTCAAATGAAATTTATATTAATTTGATATATTTATGAAAATAATATACAATAAAAAGGCATTTTTATGTTATTTAAAGTTAATTAGATGACAAGATATATGAAAGATTGATCAATAACACAAATAAGGCGTATTCATGTTGAAATTTGTTATGATTTGAATAATTTCATATCTTAATTGGCGAATTTTCAACAAACACAAGTGTCATTATTCGTTATAAAACTCTATTTCATATCATATTTTGTTTATAATCTTCAACTTTTATTGTTTGGAGTATTATTTGGATTAATCTTATGAATAATTTGACAAAGTCGCTGACCTACCAAGATGGAAACTTGAAGGTTCATTTTATAAATATGTTAACTGATTGCATCTCAACGCTGCGTGAGGCGACGAGATTGAATTATGTCAATCATGCTAATCTATAACTTTTTTGAATAAGAAAAAGCGCCTTTCAAAACTTTTGTTGGGCAATTGGAACACGTAGAACAATAAAAAAGGTGGTAAATAGACAGACCACGTCACGTCATGTGACAGCTACAGCTCAGTACCAGGGGGTTCACTTAAGGTATGAACTGGGAGGAAAATCTGATATAAAAATAATTCATCGTATAAGAAAATAGACTTGCATTGTATTCCGTTCAAAAATTTCATAAAGAAAGAACAAAATTAACTTTAAGAGGCATTTCTTTTTTTATATTATTCTATGCCACCTACATCTTGCTAAAAGCAATGTCTTTACTTAATGTTAAGTTGGAATGGCTGTTTATGACTTTTAACATTACACCTAAACAAGTATTATTTGTAAAGACAAAAACAACTGTTTTATACTCGATTATCTTAACACACATACATTTATCAAATTCAATTGATATTTATTTCACTATTTTAAATATGTTTTCTTTGTAATACCCACACCAGACACCTCTACAACTTAAAAAATAGTTCATATTTTGCATAAGAATGAAAAATATGTTTGAGTTACAAAAGGTCGACAATTTGAGAAGCAAATTGGTTCATTTTTTCAGACAAACTAAAACCTTATATATAAGTTTCATTTAAATTGAATTAGTTGCACGTATACTTGCATGCTTAATTGAATTTCTTTCAATTTCAAATATGTACAGACGTTTCGTTATTTTACATGACAAATGTTTATTCAAATAAAAAGAACAAATGTAATTTCCTTGTACATTTTCTTGTTGTGTCGTATATAAAAAAAAAAGAAGACTTTTTTTTTTGTTCAACAAGCTGTGTTGAAAAGTTTTATTGAAAAGTTTTATCAATTTTTAAAATTTTATAATATTCAGTTTATTTCAATCAAAACACCTATAATAAATAAAACATTGAACTTTTTTGTTTATTTATTTATTCACGAGGACTTGTTGGTTCAAAACAACAATGAGATGACAACTGCACCTTACAAAGTAGTTTAATCTAATACAGTTTTACAGTCTATAAAGATCTCATGTCTATAAACCATTGGTTTATAATTTCAAAAAGACAAAGACTTTTTGTTGTTGCATAGTATATTAGAATTTTAAAGTGGCAACTTTTGAAATGTTTGAAGAAAGAAAACAAGTACTTAAAATGCCGTAATTCTTGCATTAGGCTTTAAAATGTAAGATGAAACGCAGATTCGTCAAAGTATTCTATTTATCTAATTGATTTACAATTTTCCAAACAGACACAGAAGTAATACAATATTGTTTAACGCAATTCTTGCGGACCTAATTATAATGTTTAGATTGTTAAATAATAAATCAAAAATAACACCCTAAATTTACGGTCTTCTGCCACGTAAGGCGGATCTCCGAACGCACTCTTTTTAAGGTTTCGTATAATCTCTGAGATTTCAAAGGTACTTCAAACATACTCGGTGATGTTATCTGAGATAAGGTTGAAAAATCATACTTCTTAACTAATTTAAATTAAAAGACAATGCTTACTAATGCTGTATTTTCAGAAGAATCATATGTCATAGATACTTGTTTAAGACAAGATCAAAAGAAATTCAGCTTTTAATTGAATTCTTGCTGAGTAGCTAATTACTGATTTACATTAAATGTTTCGAATTTTATCTGTTTTTGAAATGCATTTTTCTATCTAAACAGAAATTCTTGTTCTTATCTCTTAAAATTAATTAAAGAACCTGCGTCGTGTTTGATCTGCTTTGCTTGACACTTAAGACGACTATGCCGAGAAATTAGTTTTTGTTTTACAAGAAATTTTCCGATTGCAAGTTTATGACCTACTAAAGAAAATTGGAAAATAAATTGGATATTTAAACACGGGGTATCACCAGAAAATAAATCATTAGAAATTACTCGATTGTTGAAAAATACATTTGCAACAAATTAATTTATATAAATATTAAATTCTGTTTTCTTTAACATTTTGTATGAAGTCAATACAATTTGTACAATCTTAAATTGATTATTTAACTAATTCTATGATTGAGACCATGCACAGAACATGTTTGATTTTAGTCGACATCAAATAAGGCATTAACTTGTATGTAAATATAAGCATTTGATAAACAATAAGACAGAAACTTTGTTCCCCACCGCTATTTGACAAAATTTCTTAAATAGAATAAATAATTTATTAAAGTACGATCTAATGTGATAAAACAAATTGTAAACGAACGATGCTAAATAGAAATGTCAATATTTTTCAAGGATGGATGTATTATAACTGATCTAAACAGTTCTGTACATGGAGCAAATACAGAGCAAAATCGTTTCCGGGTTGAAAAACATCAAAAGCTGGAATCTATGTCTTCATAAGATAAAACACAAACAAAACATAGATTTGATACCTCCGACCATTGAAGTTGTATTACAACTTCTTAGATTGATTCAATGGGTTTGAAATTTCATATTACTAATTTACTATTTACTTTGAAGGATATTAGTAATATTACATTTTTATTAAATTATTGACGTGAAACGTAATTACACTTTTATGATTAATTTTCTATTAAATTGAAATTTTGATTAATTCAATATAAACATATCAATTAATATGATTAAAATCAATAACGGTAGTTATGCTTTTCATATCAAAGAAATTCTTTTCTGCAGAATTGATAATGATATATCATAAACCAATAAACATATCATTTAATTATTTCTTATCATAAAAAAAGAGAAAAATCGAACATGTAAAAACTTTAACGGTTTGATCAAATTATGTAATATTTGGTCAGATTTCTTTAGGGACAAAATAACATAAGTTTTTTATGACTTAATTTTGACATACATCAAAAAGGTGAGATATTCGACAACTTACTTGACGATTATTACAGGTAAAAAGACATACCGGCCACTTTGTTCAAATTATAGAATTAATTGACTAGATAGCTGCCTCGAGGTAAATGTTTGCGGAGATCGATTGCTCATTGCGGACATGGATAAAATAAGTATTTGTTCTTAAACCTCTGTTATTTCCCAATTTGTCATCATTTGATACTAACTACGGCACATTCTTGTGTAAATTTGTCCCTTCACTCTTGATCAGGGACAAAAACTGAAAACTCATATAAACGCAAAAAAATGTATGATTGATTAATTTAACCTAATTGATTTGTTTGTTTGATTTTATTACCTCCTTTGTTAATTGTATTATCGATTAATGATATAAATTTCGCGACAATTTTCCAAGTTTCTCATAAAGTGTTCAGACTACTGTTTTCATTCATTTACATTTTATCGTTTGTTTATTAATTTGATGATGCAGTCACGATGTTCGAATTCTATTAACTTCAACGTAAAAATGTTTTAAAACATTTACGTTTTTGATTGAAACACACACACAAAAATCGATACGCTAACGACATCCATAAACTTCTGAGACGCTACAACCGATATTATTAACTCAAACAATATAATTAACACTTTTTCTTCATTTTATGCCGTATAGTTTTATTGTCAACACCTAAATTTATATTTTGTTTTGTTTTTATACTTTACCAGAAGGCACAATAAACCATCTCGCATTTCAATAAGGTCACTAAATTATTTAACGTTTACATTAACCCAGCTGCACAGTATACAAAATATAACTTTTACTAAGCAGAAATAGAGATGGAGCGCGCGCTACATTTGAGTAAACTGGAATTTTAAAATTCTTTTTTATTTATTCTTATCTAAAATTTATAATTTCATCATCTGTTAGCCGTGTTTTAATGACCAATTACAATGGTGAGCCCATTATTGAAATGTACCATCTGAAATCCCTGCGTGTTAAACATGTCGCATTTTAAAAATGAACGAAGTCCCTCACTCTAAAATGTTACTTAGTAATGGTCAATTTACCGAAGAAACTAGGAAAATTGACATAGTGATGGAAAGTTAAGTGAAATGAAGCAAAGCGTGTTTAATCCTCTTGTCGACTAAATTAGTATAAATTTCGTTTGTGGATGTTTATAATTCGAGAAGGTGTTGTTCCCCCGATGATTATACTATTTTCCAGACCATTTACCCCTCGTACGCTCTAGTATCCTTTCTTAACCAATGGCTTTCAAACATTGTTATAATGTACTTGATGTTTTGAAAGGTATTTTCAACAGCGATCTATATTTGAACAATTTATATTTTTTATATATTTGTAAATAGAAATTAAATATTTGTTTGACATTTGAAAGACGTGACAGAAAAATTGAAAGACCCGTATTTATTTGGACAGTTAACGATGTGTATTTAATTCAATAAAATATGAGTCAATTTTATAAACAAGGATAGCCCATGCAAGGTGAAGGAAGTGCTATTAGAAATCTTAAATATACATAATACGATCAAATTTAAATAAATCAAAATTGAAATGTATAAATAGTATTTTTGTAAGTAATTACATACCAAACTTTATGTTACACCATTTAGTTGCAAGAATTAGAATAATAATAACAATAATAATAATTATTTATTTTACCAGTCAGTTCATTTATATACCAGTCTACAACATATATTTACAAATCATAATCATATTTTTATAAATCTTAGTCACACGTGGTCAGATACCTAGATTTATTCATGATATTGGGTATATTCATTTTTGATCAGAATTCTACTTATTGTAAAAAGGAGAAAAAATGAATAAATTGAAAGATCCCTACCTGCACTCGTGATTCTACAAGATCTAGACGGAGGGCTAAAGCTTCCCTCATGAACACATCTGGATAATGGCTGTCTTGGAAAGCTCGCTCTAACTCTTCCAGTTGCCAGCCTGTAAAATTTGTTCTTGTTCTTCTCCTTTTTGCTGACTGACTTTCAGGAGAATCGTCATCAATTTCTATGAGTAAAATATAAAAAAAGTTTAACTATAGTGGCAATCATTTTAGATATCATCAAATATTAGCTTTATTTGTTGACAAAAGATATTTATATTATTAAACTTTTAGCTTACTATTGAAACCCGCTTTTATTTGTCCATTACCAAGTAAAAAATATCTAAAATATTTTAACAAAATATTTCAGCATCATCGTTTTTCATGATTTATATATTTGCACAGTATTTTTTTCCTAAACAGACTCATTCGTGAATTATAAATGTTTTAGATTTCTAAGCATAATTTTTGATCATTTTTACCATTTCATATGTATAAAAAAATCTATTTTCCTTCTATTTTGGCGAGAAATTATTTCTTATATAATTATGTTACAGTTTCAAAAATAATATATAAATGTAAATGTAAATTTTATTTTTGTTTATGAAAGTTTTATATTATTATTTTTTTCAAATATTCATAAAGGAGTAAAACCTTTTAAAATGTTATTCGTATCAATAATTTCCATATAGTATTAATAATATATATTTATCTAGTTTGTATAGGAAACATTTTCTTAAAGAAACAATTATAGTTAATAAATACATACCTCCATTTTTTAGAGAGTTTTTATCCGATGATGGACCATAACTGTGTCCATTTGAATTATTCCTGGCATGTTGAGAAGACAAAAGTCCCTCCATTTGAAAACGTAAATCTCCAGGGTGTCCATTAAAACTTAACCCGTAGGGATTTGCAGCTGCAGCAGCAAGCGCCAATGGCCCACCAAAATGGGCAGCACTTCCATAAAGAGATGATAATAATCCATAGCCGTGGGGATATCGGGCATCAAGTAGCCCGAGAGGTCCTGTCATATTTCTTCTAGTACCGTTTTCTTGTCTCGAACAGAATGTCAACATTTCTAACACATTTGTACAAGGTCTGATAAAAGTTCTTGTCATTTAACAGTTAAGTCTGAGCGCACACTTGCCGTTCTAATAACGCCGTTAGCCAATCAGATAATAGAATCACGTTTGTGGACAAAGATGGGAGGGAAAGTCGTCAACATGAGTTGTATGCAAACAAATATTGAATGTCCTCTAGCTGTTGAAGACATTTAGAGGGAGATGATCACAAAATTAGCGTTCGTTGATTGATCATTATGACATTAATTGCATGGTTGGTTTAACATATGCTTCAATGCTTACAGTCATTCGTTAAAACATTTTAATAGATTTAAATAAAATAGATAAGGGAGAATTATTGCAATTAAAGGCAAAATATATATGTTTATCATTTTATAAAATGAATAGAAGAAAACTTATTCACATAGTAGCAGGCATTTAAATTAAAAATAAATAAATAGCATTTTACTGCGTATGTTAAAACGATTTTCCTCGATGAAAAACGGTCTCCTGGAATAAGAATGTATATCCTACTCTCCTAAAGGAGGATAATACACATATATATATTATTTTATTCTAAAATTAAGCATTTTTTTTAAATATTAACTGTCAAAATATTACATTTTAATTTGGTGTTGAATGAAACAAAATACACTATTTAATGATAGCTGAAAGCAATGCTACAACTATGGTATACTGTGTGAAAAGGTTTGATTTATTTAACTAAATAAAAAAAGTTTTCAAACACATTTCCTCTGTTTAAGATTTTCTAAACTCAACTTTTTAAAGATATATTCCATATATGCTTTTTTCTAAACATTTTGCATGCATTATGCTTTATATTTTAAAAATATTACCCAGATTTAAATTTAGCTAAAAAAAAATTCTGTATCAATATTTTCCTGTTTTGGTTTGAAATGTCCATGAAATTTCGGGTCAAGTAAAAAAAAAGAAAAAAGAACGACGAAAAGACAAACAACAGTCCACAAAACACAACAGAGAAAACTAAAGACTGAGCAACACGAAAAAAGGTTACACACCAAATGTTATAATTGACTTTCTCATGTCATACACAGTAAATCTTATAGCATATAAATATATTTAGATTTAAGGTCAGCGTCAATAAATCAGCAACATAACAGTACAGGTTTAACAAAAATTAACTTTTAAAGGTCACCATACGGAATCAAACGATGGACAATCGTCCTAACCATATATATCAAACTTTGCAACATATAGATATCAAACAATCATCCAAAACATAGATTTAAAACTTTGCATCGCCATCCTTAGACACGTCCTAGTCCTAAGACAGCTTTGTTGACACGGCTCCAGATTTATTGTCAATTTAACCAGTTTTCTTGCATCCTACATGCAATTATCTTCAGTGGAAAAACCTGTCCGAGTTATACAATTTATTGTTCTCTTTTGATTATAGGCACCATCTCTTAAATGAAATTAGTTCCATTTCAAAGTGTTTCCTAAAATGGGCCTAGGACATGTCTGAGCATGCTGAGGAATATCTTACCTAGGATGTTATAACCGCTATCCCAAGTGTTTGAGTATAAGTAAATAGCAAAAAAAAAAAAAAAAACTATCTACATATTAAGATAAAAATGCATAATAATTAACCAGTGAATATAATGATATTCAAATAATGATGAAATAATAAAACAATATTAACAGTATTACTGTGATCGTTATAAAAAAACTTATATAATGATTGCACATTTAACCTTATACGAAACAACACAAAACAAAAATATATAACTGCGTTTTCTATAAAAAAAAAAAAGACCAATTGTAGATATTTACAACGGTACAAATAATGAATTTTTTTTTAGGTAAATTGAATTCAAAATCTAACAATTTCATACATAACAGAGTTCAAAGGCGAATCTTGTGCGTCTTTCATATAAATGCAAAGTGGTTTAACTATTATAGTACTGCCAAAAGATATACGAGTGAGTATAAACAAAAGGAGGAACCATAACTTTACAGATGTCGAACAAAAGGCTCTCTTGAAAGCATAAATCTTAGCTGTTCCGTAAATTTCCAATGATGAAATCAAAAATGCTAAAAGGAGGGTTTGGGATACAAATTAAGTTATCATAAAATATATCCTTAAGTGAGGACCATCTTAAGACACCTAAATTGGTGCCCTAAACATAGCACAATTCCTAGGAAAAATCCTATATTTCGACATGTTTGATAAACCCACTTAGGACAAAAAAGAAAGATGGTCTTAGGACGTGTTATAACCCTAAGACTGCTCCGATAAACAGGCTACAGTTCCTTGTGCAAATTAAAATTTCCAATTATGGCATAGTGTGTGTACACCTGTGTACCCCAAAATGTATGGTTAAAATGAAAATTAATATGTTTTTAAAAGATTTTTTCTTCTTGAAAAAGTTTACTTTTTCGTATTTTTTAAATGTTCGCTTGATGATAGAATTTAAAAAAAAACGATTCTTTATTTCCATGTTCAAAATGCTTTTATGATTCTATTAAAACTAAATCGATATTTAATGTTTGTGCTGTAACTCTCTTACAGAAATGTTTCGCTTTATCCAAAGCATATTATTTTATTTATTAGTCAAATATTTTTCTTTTTATTGATAAGCCCGTAATTGATATCACATGGCGTCCGTGGTCGGCTACCTCTGTTTGTCTAAAAGTTCTTGTTTTTTTTTCATCCTCTGTGAAACTGCTTTGCCATATATCATATATGTTCATTTTCTTTAAATTTACTGTACATAAAATGTTCGAAACACTAATGTTTTTCGTCCCCCAGGCATATATTGCCTAAGCCGTATTTAGCACAACTTTTCTCGGATTTTTCGGTTTAAGTGTTCTTCTATTTTCAACTGTTTTGATTCGAAGGCCACTGATGAGTCTTTTCTAGACGAAACGCTCGTCTGGCGTAAAACTGTTAGCCTGGTATCTTTGATAAAAATGTTGTGCTAATCGGAACCAAGCATAAATACCAATGTCTCTTTTCAAAATTGAATCCGGCACGCCCATTAATTTTCCAAATTTGTCACCAGAGCCTTTGTCTAACCAATAGACTTCAGATATCTCTTATAAAACCGAATAGAATGATCTTTGTATTATCATCTTTCAAATCATATTACACAACTCTATCTTTCAACCTTTAGTAAAACCCTTGCCAAAGTGGGGAGGTCCGTTTGGCTGTGCAGGATGTATAAGTACACAGTCACGTCCGATCGGAATGGGGACGTTAAATCTAATGCCTTGTGTAGAAAGACTGCCACACTCTCTGCAGGATAAGAACCCTTGCAATAACTCTTTGAGTGGTCTGTAGGAAGCAAGTTGCTAGTCAAAATTTCTGTCCCTATCCAATTTACCCTCATTTTCCACTTGACGTTGAGATACCAACATTTAATCAATCAATCTATCTTTTACCCATGCATGTTGGAAACCAGAGCCAGAGATAAAACGAGATATCTAAATCCACTGAAATAGTTTTATCGCATGGAACTTAAGTTTATTAGAATATCCCCTTTACGAATTGAATGTAAGCTCCGATAATTATATCTGCATATTTACGACTTTTTTGCAATTAACCGGACCAGCGAGTCCTAGACCAAGTTTACAATATTTGTTTTTACTCTCATGCACTTTAAGTGCTCTATAAGAGGAACAACATACTGTTAATACAATGGGCAAACAAGTTGCAAACATTATGTATAAAATAATACATAGATATAAAAGAAATACAAAAATGCAGTGTCTCTGTGAAATTTTTGTTTTAAAGAAAGCTAAATTTGTAAGAACAGATATATTACAAGCCACTTAAATTTGCATTGATTGATTGAGTGGTTTAGGTATATACTTTTTTTTTATAATTTTTTAAAAACTTTTTGCCATCTAAAGAACACGTCCATTATGGTATTAATTCTGCATGCCCTTGGGCTTCTCAGTTTAAAATGTTTTATCTCTTTTTTGTTTTTACACGTTCAGTAACTGTTTTGCAACGTAGTATGAAAGGAATGAGATGAGATTGCAACCAAAACGAAGAAGACATTAACATGACTCTTGGTATTTTTTTCTTCAAATAAGTGCATGGCGTCCTCTGTATACCAGTCTTTTTCGAAGAATTGTTTGAAACCTTTTAAATGTTTTTCTGTATCAATTGTGTGATGCTATCTAAACGTACAAGTAAGCATGTATAACATCTTTCTTAATAATTGCGTATGAATAAAAGGGAGATGTGGGGAATGCATATGAATGAGACGGCAACCCAAAGACACAAACAGCAAAGACATGGCTGTTTTCAACGTAACTACAATATCTAGATTCTGCTTCAATGATTTCGTTTATCTTTTTTGGATTACATAAAATATGTATGTTAGTTATTTATAAAAATGCTGCATTTTAGTGCCGGTTGTCACCGTATTAAAAGCTTTGCCTTATAGAATGAGCATACAGATTGACACATAGTCAACAAAATATTGAACAGAAAAGTAAAACTGAAGATTGGGCAAAAAGAACCCCACTAAAACCGATAGTGAATTCAGGTCCTCTAGAATGGTAAGTAGTTCGTGCTTCACTAGTGATCATTACCTACGTCATGTTGCATATGACAACTGCATGAGGTCATTTTTGTCAGTATTATTCCCCATTAGCGAGAAATAAGAACACTTCGTCGTTTTATCTTTTGGTAAATGTGTTGTCTGTCCGTTGACTTATCATCCGGTATTTCTTTTGTCCCGTTTGTAAATATAAATATATATGTTGTCTGATCTATGGTCGGGTTGTTGTCTCTTTGACACATTCCCTATTTCCATTCTCAATTTTATATATATATATCTTCTTATTTCATTCAATGACTGCTCATGCAACAATAAAAATAAATAATTTCTAAACGAAAAGAACACTCATTTAATTCCATGCGACCGAAACGCTTTTCTGGACTAACCTCCATCAGGAACGTTCAAAACTCAAGACTTTGAGAGCCAAGTAAATCTTTGAATAAATAAAAAATATCGATGGGCTTGATGAGCACGGGACCGTGGGACCAGCCTTAATACTGGCATACAACATATCGAATAAACAACTTTT